ATCCCCGTCCACATCCGCATCCTCATCCTCATCGTCGGGATTATCCTCCTCATCATCATCATCACCATGTCGCAACGTTATCAGCATCGTGATCGCCATCAGCATCATCATCAGAGGCGTCATCATCATCATCAGAATTGCCATCGTCATCAAGATCGGCATCAGCATCAACATTAACATCAGCAGCAGCATCCTCCTCAGCATCCATCATCAACATCAGCAACAAAATCATCAGCATCAGCATCATCATTATCATCATCAGGCGCACAATCATCATCATTATCATCAGCATCATCATCACCATCACCATCATCAGCATCAGCATCACCAGCATCACCACCAGCATGATCACCAGTATCATCATTAGCATCATCATCCGCATCATCATCATCAGCATCATCATCCGCACCATCGTCAAGATCATCCTCATCATCTTCATCATCATCCCCATCAGCATCATGATCCTCCTCGTCAGCATCGTCACCATCAGAAGCATCATCAGTATCATCATCAGCACCCTCACCCTCATCAACATCGTCGTCACCACCATCGTCAAAACACAACCATCATCATCGACAACGTCAGCTGTATCGTCATCAGCATCGTCATTAGCATCATGAGCATCAGCATCGTCACCACCATCAGCATCATCATCATCATCATCAGCATCATTACATTCCTCAGCCGCATCATCATCACCGTCATCAGCATCATCAGCGTTATCATCGTCAGCATCATCAGCATCATCGACACAACGTCACCCACCACATCAACATGAACACCAGCATCATCCGTATAATCATCATCAGGAGCAGCAGCAGCAGCATCCTCCGCTTCCCACTCATCCTCATCATCATCCTTTCCCGCATACTCATCCGCCTCACCAGCATCATTAGCAGCATCATCATACCCATCAGCATCACCATCACCATCAGCATCACCACCACCACCATCATCATCATCATCATCATCACAACCATCAGCATCGTCAGCATCATCCGTAGCAACGTCCCCATCGTCACCATTAGCATGATCTTCACACCGTCATCCTCAAAATCGTCGTCGTGAGCATCAGCATCATCATCATCGTCATCATCATCATCATCATCATCATCATCATCATCATCGTCATCATCATCGTAATCAGCATACTCAGCAGCAGCATCAGCATCAGCATCATTGTCAGCATAAGCATCATCATCATCATTAGCGTCTGCATCATCATCAGCAGCATTCCCAGCCCCGTCATCGCCACAACGTCCTCACCACCATCATCGACATCATAAACAGCAGCAGCCTCCTCCTCCTCCGCCTCCTTATCATCATCATCATCGTCAGCATTAGAATTATCAGCATCATCAGCATTGGCATCACTATCATCACCACCACCACCATCATCAAACTCAGCATCACCCTCATCATCATCATCATCATCATCATCATCATCAGAATCACCATCATCATCAGCAGCATAAGCATCATCGTCAACATCCTCCTCGTCATCGTCCTCCTCCTCCGTCCCAGCATCGTCATTATCAGCATCATCATCATCAGCGTCACAACTTCATCATCATCATCATCATCATCATCATCATCATCAGCAACACCATCATCATCATCACCATCACCATCACCATCAAGAACAACAGCATCATCATCATGATACTCATCATCATCGTCATCGTCGACATCATCATCAGCCCCATGTTCATCATCGCCACAACGTCATCATCATCAGCATCATCATCGTCGTCATTATCATTATCATCGTCGGCAGCAGCGTCTTCTTCCTCCATCTCCTCCTCATCATCAGCAGCAGCAGTAGTATCATCAGCATCATCATCACCATCAGCATAATCGCCGTGGTCGAAGCCATCACCAGCAGAGTCATCATCCTCATCATTAAAATGACCAACAAAATCACCACCACCATCGTCATCATCATGGCCCTCATCATCATCCTCGACCTCGTTCTCCTCGTACTCGTCATCATCATCATCATCAGCATCACCATCATAACCAACATCACCATCATCATCATCATCCTCAGAATCATCACCATTACCATCATCATCACCCTGAAACTGTCATCATTAGCAACAGCATCATTGTCGGCATTGCCATCGTCGTCATCATAATCATCAGCATCATCATCATCATCATCATCATCATCATCATCATCATCCGCGTCATCATCATCCCAATCACGGCCACAACTTCACCAGCATCATCAGCAGCGGCAGCAGCATCTCCTTCCTCAGCATCATCATTGTCATCAGCATCATCACCGTCAGCACCATCATCAGCATCGTCCTCGTCATCGTCATCATCTTCATCGGCGTCATCATCGTAATCATCAGCATCACCATCACCATCACCATCGACATCACCATCACCATCACCATCATCGTCGTCATCATTATCATAATCATCATCGTCATCATCATCATCGTCATCGTCACCTTCCTCCTCCTCCTCCTCCTTCTCCGCATCCGCCGAGGAGGCCTGGCGGGAGGGCCGCGGCGCACTGGGCGGACAAGCCCAAGCAGAGGTGGAGAAAGGAGTCGTAGGCGTCCATGAGGGCCTCCCGTGGGGGGCAGAAAAGAGATTGGCAAGGACAGAGGAGGAAGGGGTAGGATACAGAAGGAGAGAGAGAGGAGGAGAACACAGGAGAGAAAAGGCAGAAGGGAAGGAGCAGGAGGAGGAGGAGAACGGGAGGAGGGCCAGAAAATGAGAGAGAAGTGAGACGAATCGGAGAAGGGTTGGAGGGAAATGCAGCATCGAAGCTTCGCCGGCGAGGGCGAACAGCATCCGACAAGCAAGGCCCGACGCCGTAGCAGAGCTGCTCGGGAAAGCAGTTGACCAGCTGTATTGAGAAGCCTGCCTAAGCAAAAGAAGGCACGTAAGACACGGACACACTGGGCTATGGCCTCTTGCTCTTTTCGAAGCCCAGTCTCGTCGCAAGAAGCTGGCCGAGGAAGCCAGCTCCTCGGGATGGCATCGAGGAGCTGCTGAAAACAAAAAGGCTGTCTCATACCCCCCTCCCCTTCATCCTAGTCATCCCCATCCCCATGACCGCCGCCGCGCCGCCGCCACCCCGCCGCCACCGCCACCGCCACCACCACCACCACCACCACCACCACCACCACCACATCATCATCATCCATCATCATTCATCATCATCATCAGCATCATCATCAGCATCATCAGCATCATCATCATCATCATCATCATCATCATCAGGCAGCAGCATCATCATCATCATCATCATCATCATCATCATCATCATCAGCATCCTTACCATTATCATCATCATCATCATCATCATCATCACCAACATCATCATCATCAGCATCATCATCATCACCACCATCATCACATCATCATCATCTTCATCATCATCATCGTCATCATCATCAGCATCATCATCATCACCATTACCATCATCATCATCAGCAGCAGCAGCATCATCATCAGCATCATCAACATCATCATGAGCATCATCATGATCAGCATCATAATCATCATCATCATCATCATCATCGCCATCATCGTCGTCACCGTCGCCATCGCTGTCGTCATTCTCAGGGTCATCACCATCAGCATCAGCATCATCATCAGCATCATAATCATCATCAGCATCAGCATCAGCATCAGCATCAGCATCATCATCATCATCATCGTCATCATCATCGTCGTCACCGTCACCGTCACTATCGTCATCCTCAGAGTCATAATCAGCATCATCAGAAGCATCATCAGCATCAGCATCAGCATCAGCACCAGCATCAGCATCAGCTGCATCATCATCATCATCATCATCAGCATCATCATCATCATCATCATCATCAGCATCATCATCATCATCATCGTCCTCATCCTCATCACCATCACCATCATCATCATCGCCATCACGGTCACATCATCAATCGTCGTGGCCCTCCTCATCCTGCTTCTCATAGTCCTCCTCATCGTTACCAGCATCATCAGCAACAGCAGCATCAACAACAATATCAATATCAGAACCGTCATCATCGTGGTCACCGTCAACGTCGCCGTCGTCGTCAGCTTCATCAGCAGCAGCAGCATGATCATCATCATCATCATCATCATCATCATCATCAACAGCAGCAGCATCAGCAGCAGCATCATCAGCACAGTCATCGTCATTATCATCGTCATCATCACCACCACAACCACCATCATCAGTATCATCAGCATCAGCATCAGTATCACCATCATCGTCATCATCAGCAGCAGCATCTCATCATCATCATCATCAGCAGCATCAGAGGCAGCATCAGCATCGTCATCATCATCAGCATCAGCAGCAACACCTTCATCATCATCAGCATCATCAGCATCATCAGCATCATCAGTATCGGCATTATCAGCATCATCATCCTCATCAGCATCATCAGCCGCCATCATCAGCATCATCATCCTCATCCTCCTCCTCATCATCATCCACGTCATCGTCATCGGCATCGTCATCGACATCGCCATCATCATCGGCATCGCCATCATCATTATCGTCCTCATCCTCATCATCATGATCATCATTATCCTCGTTATCATCCTCATCATCCTGAACATAAGAATCAACATCCCCTTCCCATCCTCAAGGGCTGGCAGGAGCGAATGAGGCTTGCATCCAAATGCGTGGAACAGTACGCAAGCAGATGTGAGAAACCATCCATGTTTAGAACACTACGCGTGGAAACCTGCACGTGAAGTCCGAATGTGTAGATTACATGTTTGAAACCCGATGTGAGAAACCCCACTTGTGAAATCCGACGTGTGGAAACACTAAGTGCGTGAATCCCTGAATGTAGAGACCCATGCGTGAAACCCGATGTGCCATGTGTGGAACCCTGTGGAAAGCTGTATGGAACCCCGTGTGCGCAGCAGCGGCAGATGGAGCAGGAGCAGGCGCAGGGGCAGGCAGCAGGGGGCAGAGGCAGAGGACGAGGAGGGACCATCCCTCTTGGCAGACCATCTCAGGCCCAATGGCGCGCGCCCAGCTCGACGGGGGCACGGTCGCCATCCACGCAGAGCAGCAGCGTGGGCTTCCCGTCCAGGCCACCCCCGCCCGGCGCGCTCGCGGCCCAGAGGGCGGGGCAGTAGGCCTCGTAGGCCGGCATGTAGCCGGCAACGAAGGCCCGCACCGCCTCGTCGTCCATCCCCGGACGGCCCTCGGCGGCCATCGCGCGCTCCGCCTGCAGCCGCCAGCCGTACACCCGCTCGATGTCGTCCACGGCTACCACGCACCAGGCGTCCACCAGGTCCTCCCAGGCGACGTACGCTGTCAGGTTGGCGTCGATGTCGGGCAGGCCCGAGTGCGTGGCACTCAGCACGCCACCGTCCCCGCGCTGTCGGAAGCCCGCCATCCAGCCCTCGAGGAGCACCACGTCCAGGGGCGCGCTGGCCGACCTCCAGGCGGACCGGGGCGCCCGGTCGCCCCGCCCTGCCCGCGCGGCCTTGTCATAGCCAGGCACGGGCACCGAGCCGGCCTCGGCGCCGCAGAGCGCCCGCAGCGTCGCCGCACCCAGAGCGATGTCGTGCGTGCCCGCGTTGCCGCGCGTCCGCAGCAGCGCGTTGCCGGCGCAGCGCTCCGTGACGGCGTCCTGCTCCGCCCCTGTCAGGTAGAAGTCGTCGTAAGACACCGCCACGCAGCTCAGGCCGTCGGCAGAGAACAGGTCGGCCAGGCAGCCGACGAGCGTCGTCTTGCCGCAGCCCTGCGGCGCCGACAGGCCCAGGAGCACAGCGCCAGCGCGTCCTGGTGCGGCGCGCGCACGATTGACCTCGGCCAGGAGCCAGAAGTAGACCTCAGCGGGCGAAGAGCGGTACGAAAAAGGAAATTACGCTACCGAGGAACCCCACATACTTATATTATGGCTGGAGTGATGAGAGCTGAAGTGAAGCATGTGAGAATGATGTTGGTGGCCGTTGCCCCGCCGATACCGCTGTGCCCTGGACGACCGTCACGGATAGCGGCCGCGGTGAGAGACCACCCCCTGCGCACCCCCTATGGTGTCGAGAATATGCCATGCCTGCTGTGCCCTGGACGACCGTCACGGATAGCGGCCGCGGTGGGAGACCACCCCTTGCGCACCCCCTATGGTGTCGAGAATGTGCCATGCCTGCTGTGCCCTGGACGACCGTCACGAGTAGCGGCCGCGGTGAGAGACCACCCCCTGCGCACCCCCTTATGGTGTCGAGAATATGCCATGCCTGCTGTGGGACGACCGTCACGGATAGCGGCCGCGGTGAGAGAATAGAGATGCCACGCCTGCTGTGCCCTGGACGACCGTCACGGATAGCGGCCGCGGTGAGAGACCACCCCTGCGCACCCCCTATGGTGTCGAGAATATGCCATGCCTGCTGTGCCCTGGACGACCGTCACGGATAGCGGCCGCGGTGAGAGACCACCCCCTGCGCACCCCCTATGGTGTCGAGAATATGCCATGCCTGCTGTGCCCTGGACGACCGTCACGGATAGCGGCCGCGGTGAGAGACCACCCCCTGCGCACCCCCTATGGTGTCGAGAATATGCCATGCCTGCTGTGCCCTGGACGACGTCACGGATAGCGGCCGCGGTGAGAGACCACCCCCTGCGCACCCCCTATGGTGTCGAGAATATGCCATGCCTGCTGTGCCCTGGACGACCGTCACGGATAGCGGCCGCGGTGAGAGACCACCCCTTGCGCACCCCCTATGGTGTCGAGAATATGCCATGCCTGCTGTGCCCTGGACGACCGTCACGGATAGCGGCCGTGGTGAGAGACCACCCCCTGCGCACCCCCTATGGTGTCGAGAATATGCCATGCCTGCTGTGCCCTGGACGACCGTCACGGATAGCGGCCGCGGTGAGAGACCACCCCCTGCGCACCCCCTATGGTGTCGAGAATATGCCATGCCTGCTGTGCCCTGGACGACCGTCACGGATAGCGGCCGCGGTGAGAGACCACCCCTGCGCACCCCCTACGGTGTCGAGAATATGCCATGCCTGCTGTGCCTGGGCGACCGTCACGGATAGCGGCCGTGGTGAGAGACCACCCCCTGCGCACCCCCTATGGTGTCGAGAATATGCCATGCCTGCTGTGCCCTGGACGACCGTCACGGATAGCGGCCGCGGTGAGAGACCACCCCCTGCGCACCCCCTTATGGTGTCGAGAATATGCCATGCCTGCTGTGCCCTGGACGACCGTCACGGATAGCGGCCGCGGTGAGAGACCACCCCCTGCGCACCCCTATGGTGTCGAGAATATGCACGGATAGCGGCCGCGGTGAGAGACCACCCCCTGCGCACCCCCTATGGTGTCGAGAATGCCCTGGTGCCGACTGTCACGGATAGCGGCCTGTGCCTGGGCGAGCACCGACCCCGCGGTCGCGCGTGACCCCCGAGATGCTGTGCCTGGCCGACCGTCCACTAGCGGCCGCGACCACCCCCTATGGTGTCGGGAATATGCCATGCCTGCTGTGCCCTGGACGACCGTCACGGATAGCGGCCGCGGTGAGAGACCACCCCTTGCGCACCCCCTTATGGTGTCGAGAATATGCCATGCCTGCTGTGCCCTGGACGACCGTCACGGATAGCGGCCGCGGCGAGAGACCACCCCCTGCGCACCCCCTATGGTGTCGAGAATATGCCATGCCTGCTGTGCCTGGGCGACCGTCACGGATAGCGGCCGCCGTGAGAGACCAGCCCCTACGCACCCCCTACGCTGCTGTGCATGTGCTGTGCTGTGCTGTGCTGTGCTGTGCTGTGCTGTGCTGTGCTGTGCTGTGCTGTGCTGTGCTGTGCTGTGCTGTGCTGTGCTGTGCTGTGCTGTGCTGTGCTGTGCTGTGCTGTGCTGTGCTGCGCTGTGTGAGAAGGAGAGAGAGGGGAGGAGGAGACGCGGGTGAGACGCGGAAGGGAAGAAAACCAGAACCCCACGAAGCATGTGGGGAACTTCTCCGCCGTCGGGCCCTACGCGGCTAGAAAATTGATACACTTACGTGGCACCGCAGGGGTAGAAACTTTCCGGCCGCCCTGGGGCAGGCGTTCCCGACGGCGGAAAGGTTTGGTTTATACCGTCGGACCTAAGCCAGGAGAACATCCCTCAAGAACATGCGGCGCGGCCCTCCGTCGGCCAAAACCAACAGAACGTCCAAGGGCACCCTCCCCAGGATGCACGAGAGCATCCCACAGGCACGGAGAGAACCCCCAGGGCATCCTCCCCGAACCGCCCTCGATCTGACGCCTCGATCCGACGGCACCGCTCTTCGCCCCCCAGAGACCGGCAGGTAGAGGTGGTACACCCTCGCCGCCAGGTCCCGCCCCAGCCGCGACGGCGACGGGTCCGCAGCCGCCGCCTCGCCTGGGACGCACATGGACATACTAATACTATATGTCCTCCTTGGAGGCGCGCGTCCGACCCGAACATATAGTATACTCATCTTGTAGTATAACGTTTCCCGAGCGGTGTGGCCAGGAAGCGCCCGCCACGACGCATATACTATAAGATTTCTCGGTGCGCGCGTCGCCCCTGGGGGGGGCGACGCACATGTAGTATAAGTATGTTTGGGTGTTGCCGACGATCGCCCGCCAGCCGCGCCACGGCCCTGGCGCCGCGCAAGGCCCACGCCTCGGCCGCTGGAGCCGCACCGCGGAGCGACGGGTGCAGCGGCCCCGCCCGGACGAAGGCGCCCACCTCCTCGACGAGCGCGCGGGGCAGGGCGCCCTCCAGGGGCGCTGCCGCTGGGGGAGGAAGCACAGACAT